CCTTTTTAATGTAGGTATGCATATTACATTTCATATAAATACGGCACATCATTATAAATCTTTAGATAATCAATGTCAAATTAATAAATTCCATATCATTGAGTCTTCAGTATTCTAATTATATTAAATTAAAACATTATTGGTATCGTTTATAAATTATAATAAATAGGTACAACCTATAATTGTTTGAATACAATTATTTGCAAATATAATATATTTGTAGGTATATATTTAAAACATTAATAATCAAACATTAGAGATGTTAGTCTTAGTCCTATATAGAATATTTTTTTATTATATATTCTGTTCATTGACAATTCACTGTAATATCTAAACAAACAAGTAACATCACACTATATTATTGAAACTGAAGATTTTCGTACGTGTGTAAGACGGTGACAACATAGAACCAAGTATAAACAAAAAATTAGTAGTTATAACTACTCCAATAGGACTTTTGTATTTTCCAATTTATATTTTATTCGAATGGTTATTAGTCTTACTACTTACTGGTTATGAATTAAAAACGTGAACTAAACATTATTACCTATTCATTTTTAGTTAAGAGCTTATCACTTAATATTTAGAATTTTATTAGAAATAATAAAATAATTTATGGTAAACGTGAGAAAATAGACAACTAAAATTACAGACTGTGTTTGGAAAGGCGATTGTACACTTTCCCGATTTTAATGACATGTATAAACTCTACCAGTAGTAAACTCTCCTTAGTCAACTCCAGTACTACCTATCGGGAATATGTAATCTCTCCCGCGTCTACCTCAGTAATAATACATTTTACTTAAAAAAAGTAAATTATCTATATATATATATATATATATATATATATATATATTATATATATATAAATTAATAATTGTCTGTGTGTCTGTGTGTGATTTCCTTTACGCATTCCTAAACCATTCGTTTGATTGCGATGGCATTTGGCGCAGAGATAGATTAGACATCTGGGGAGAAGATAGGCTAATTTAAAAGGGGTAAATTAGAGGTCCGAACCTAGGAGGTGATGCTCCAATAACAGAGATTTTGTGATTTACGATGTAAATGTTTGTAAAAAATTTTTGATATTGGTTTTAATAATAATAATAACTGTTAATGCCTATAGGCACAGTGGCACTTCAATGTATTTTAGTACAAAATATCTCAAGATCAAACCACGATTTTGGTGGACCAATTTTTTCTTATTTTTCTTCTTTATCTGTACATACAAATGTTTGTTTTTTTTATTAATCGGATTTTAGTACGGTTAGGTTAGGACTTGGTTTTAATTGATTGTATTAATCCGCAGTGGGTTGAATTAAATAAAAACGACAAACTTGGTATAACTTTGAATTTTGATACTTTAAAGTTAAATTATACACTACTTACGAACAAACCTCACAGGGTCCGCGATCTACCGGTTAGATTGCCTATACCTAATAATATACTGCTAAAAGCTAATCTCACGGACAACGATGGCTACGGCTATACATTAAAATAATATAATTTACACTTGAAAAGACATTGCTTCCACAGAGTTGAACGATCACAATTTTCTTTGGCAACGCCAGGTATTTCAGCTATATTATCTAATATATAAAAATGTCACGGTGTTTGTGGTCACACTCCTCCGAAACGGCTTGACCGATTTTAATGAAATTTGTTTTGTTTATTTGGTAGGTATGATAATAGGTTGTAAAATATTTTTCACCCTCCTAGGTCCAACCCGGGGAGGTTCTCAAATAGCACAATAGAGCATTTTGGGATTCACGGAGGAAAATGTTTATTTATAAACGGTTGCTATTGGTTGTAGAAGAAATATTAGTAGAAATTAGTATTTATTATTTGCTTCCCATTGGTTGGGTTAATAATCAGGCAGATCAGGTGCAAGCTTGCATCAAATCAAATTTTCGCACATGGCTTACTTGATATGGTGTTGCACATTGTCCGCGATCTGACGTAGTCGGATTGCCTACCACGGAGCCACGGAGGCTGACTTGCACCCAGAAGGAGTCGAGCAATCACAATTTTTTAAAAGTTGTAATTTTTAAGGGCAGCGAAGTGCTCGGGATCAGTTAGTATAATAATAAAAATCAATGCCTTTAGTTTTTGTGGGCTATAGTTATACTATATAATTATACTAAAAATACAAATAAAATAAATCAAATATACATTTTAATTTAGTTTAAAATAAGGTGGGCAAGTGGATGTCGCTCTGCTGTACAGTAGGTTACAAGTGGATCACTGTATAATGGATACTATTAAATTTTAATTCAATGATATAAAATCATTGTATACGAAAAGCGATTCTGAGCGGTGACAATTTTGTCAGTGTGGATATTTTATATTATATTTATATTGTTATTACTTATAACTTATAAGTAATATATTATTGAAATTTTTTAGTTACAGAATAACCTATTTAGGTGGAACTTTTTTTGGAGGGGGTGGCTGAACCCTACCCCACCTGGCTACGGCCTTGGGGTGCCAACCTTTCTTGTGGACACCCATCTAGCAGATTGTACTAAAAAGTAAAAAAGAAACGTTAAATACTATATATAAAAATGTATTCAATAAAATCATGGACTCTTTTCCGTCCAACTCACAAATCTATATAGAGTACAGACGCTTCCAAAACTAACTCAGGTGTAGAGATCGCTACCATAAACGGTGACCAATCCTTATCGTACAAATTACCAGTCATAACAGTATCTATATGGCGGAATACTTTGCACTCCTTGAGGGAGTCCACCGACACCAAGCCATTCCACTGCCCAAATGCTTCATTAAAAGCACTAAAAAGTGTATATTATTGTATTATTAATAATTATAATTAAAATATTGGTTTCTCTTGAACACTTCAGATTCTTGTAGGATACAATTTAGTTATTCCTAAAACTCCAATCTTCTTTGGCAGCATTACATAAAATACATGAAAACTAACCAAGCCACAATTAACAGTATAAAACAATTATCGGACACAATTTATAAGGAAATATATTGAATCACAGACAGACAGTTAATGCTGTACTTATATCTTATAACAAAATATTATAGTACCATTTTACATTGAAGTGAAAACTAAACAAAAAATAAAAATTGACCTTTGTATGACTCGTATATTAAAATTACAATAATCAGATACCTGTCCTAGTATAATTAATTATTAATTATATTGATTTTAAATTAAGAGATCAATGAGAAATAAGCATAGCCAAATTAAGAGTCAATGTCGCCATGGAGCAAACTATTTTTTTCACTCCCCATAAAGATAAGAAAATATATAAATGTATTAAGTACATCAATGACTGAAAATACTCCAATGGTCAGGCAAGACCGCTATCCACCAACCGGGCATGACAGACACTTATGGGTGCCCAAATAGAAATTCTGCTAAATAGGCGTCCAAACTAGGACTACTTCTTTTAACCTAATTAACCTAACTGTGCCTACTCAGGACATAGCGCCATATGAAAAAAAATAAATAAAAAAAATACTCCAATAGTTTTTCGTGAAATGTAAAAACGAAAATATAACACATTTAAACCTTAATAAGCTAAAAATATTTATGGTTATCAAAAAAAAAAAAATGAAACTATTCTGTGTTTAAATATCTTTTTTTCTGGATTTCATTGTGGCAATCTGATGTATCTGTTATTCCAACAGCATATCATTAATCAAAATTCAAATCAATGCATTATATCGATAAATTTCACATTTTTCATGATATAATGATGATCTTAGGTAATTTTTCAACACATTACAAGACATAAAAAAAAGATGGAGAATAAGTAATAATTCTTAAAATTATTTCTATATTAGGTAAAGTTTCTAAATATGATAATAATTGTTGTATGTAACAAAGCAAGTGGTAAGATGATACCTTCTGGCTTCTGTTAGTCCTTCTCATGGGAAATATTTAACAATGCAATTAAATTGTATTATTTTTTCTTTAATATCTGTTTTTAAATCTAAATTAAAATAATTTAACGTCATGATTTAAATTTATAAAATATTTTTAAAAATGTCATAGTAATTAAGCATGTATAAATCTTTATTGTAATATCTAATTTTTTGGATAAGTAGGTAGTTAAAGTTTTTCAGCACCTCAAAGTTGCCACCTGGAGCAAATGCCTCTTTAGCATATAGGTATTGTGGCAGTGGAAATTAGAATACAATACAACTTTACAATTTATACCTTGAAGATTAAAACTAGTTTGTATTTATTTGGGCTTTATAAGATTGATTTGAGTTTTAGTGTTGATATTCACAGTAGAGCTGAACTCAATTTTTTTAGGTGTGGCAATGAACAATAACTTATACCCACCTACCCACCATAGGATATTAGAACTAATTTTTGTTTAATATTCTTATATCTTTAAATATATGCAAGTCCGGATTAGGACATTCCACCCTTCAACTTTAGTTTCAAAAAAATGTTTTCACTAAATTTTTATGACTGTGTATAATTGTATAATTTTGTACAATATATCTACGTCGCAAGTGCAGTCATAACACATAATTAATAATGTGTTTGTAATTTATCGTAACAAATTCTATTCAATTTTCAAACAGTATGGTCAGAAAAAAAATTGTTTGTAGGTATTTGCCGTACTTGGAAACAATGAATCTATATTACAAAGTTGCATGAACCTGCATTCCTATTTCAGGATTTCTAATCACTGCTTGGTGTAGTACTACTAATCATAATATTTGTTGTAGGTACTGGGTACCTTTTTATAATCTATAAATATAAATACAATAGCTGATATCCTACTATAATCATAAATTATAAATAATACTATGATAAAGTGTACAATTTTATCAAAACTGCAAAAGTGTGACCTTCATAAAATAAAATATTTATTATTTGATTATTTTTAGGGGAGAAGGCCGCCCTAATAGTGTAGTCCTAGCTATGTACCTGTACTTAATACAAGAATATTAAGTCTTTCAAAAAAAAACTATTTATATTATTGTACTATAGTAAAGTCACTCACCTGGCACTATTAAATGTAGAAGATGGTGATGAATCGACAGCTCCAAACGCTATGCCAACAGCAAGGCCTTCAGGAATATTATGCACAGTTATAGCGATTATGAGTAATAGAATACGTTTCCAACTACATGCTTTCACATCATTATCACATTCTATTTCAGTGTATTCTGGTGGTGGATGGGTAGATTTATAGCATCGTTGTCTAGCATCTGAAATTTCTATAAAAACCATTAAAATACAATTTATATTAGATAAGTATGAAATCTGACAAATTTATAGGTAACAAAAACAAATAAATGTAAATTATATCATATTGCATATAATTGTATTCTACTAAAATTACTTTAGGCCCGAGGTTCTAAAACTGTGGTCCGCAGCCCCCCGGGGTCCAAGGCAACTCTAAACAAAAATTAAATATTAAATTTTTTTTAAGAAATTAGGTGTAGAAAAATAATTATAAATGTGTATGTTTTTATTAGGGATGGATCGATACCACTTTTTACTGATATCTGAAAACCGATATATTTGAAAACCAACCCTTTCGGAATAAGCCATGAACCTTTTAAGAAAATATTAAAAGATAACCGATATCAGCTAAAACGGATACCCGATAATACATATTTTTTTTTAATTTTTCATTGGTTATACATTTATGCTATTATGCTGATTGATTTGGTAGTATTTTTTTTGGTATCGGTTCAAATATCGGTTTCAAAAAATAACCGATACTGATAAATCTGATACCACCGATTACGATTATTGGTTCTAGTATCAGCTAATCCATAGTTTTTATGTACTTACCAATGTGATTTGTAGTATAAAATAAGTATTGGAATATTGGTAATGATAACATGGGATGTTTTGTAAAAAAAAAGGTAGGTATTCAAAAGGAAATTGGTAGGGGTACGCAATTTCTAAAAGTCTTACATCAGGGGTCCGTGTTCATTAAAAGTTTAAGAACCACTGCTTTAGGCATTTTTATAACATGACTTTATAATACAATAATTTATAAATATCTAAGTTATATAATATATTATTTCAATTAGTATTATTTCTTACCTATACAATTATAAGATAATTGAGTTGTTTAGGGAAATAAGGTTAATTGTTTGACATAGTTTTTGTCATATATTTACTAAATTAGACTAGACAATAAAAAGTTACCAATATATTTACAAACAAAGACATAAATATAAATATATTATATTATATATAGCAAAACTAAATGTCACAACAAAACCTACATTGTTTTATAAACACAATAAATTTATGTAAGCTAAGTGTTCTTAAATATTCAAAACGTTGACATTTTAAATACTTGTCATAAACCTGTCTAAATCTTATATTGGCCAATTAAAAATGCCAGATAGGTTGCTGGATCATTTAAAATACTTAATTTAATTGTAGACCACAAAGTTATTCATTCCAAATTTAAAAATTGACATGTATATGTCTTATACCTGAGGGTCATTCTATAATTTTGTGCTACACGGAGAGCTTTATTGTGTTGAAGCTGGGAGCCTAAACTATCATTGTATTTTTCTGACCAATTACACATTACAAATTTCATGATAACCCAACAATAACAAAGATGAAATTAATGTTATAAAGTTCCTAGGTTGTCATTAGCAACTAATGAATAATATAATTAAATTACCATAGCAACCTAATTATACTTTTTTAGATTCTGAGTGTAGCGATGAATGTAGGTATTACATTTACAAGACATATCTACATGCAGTGTGGATACTACTTGATTGTTAAGCTACAATTCTTACCATCTGTTATTCCAATTGATTGTTGATTATCTTTATAATAAGTACGCTCTGTATCAGAATCACATTTAAACTTCTTTTTTGAACACTGATTTGCTTCTAAGAATAAAAAAAAAAAAATGTATAAATGTGTTATAAAATGACATAAAAATGTTATATAGTACATGTATATATTTATTAAGTATAATAAACAGTAAAAATTGAATACTAAAATAATAGCAGTGGTATTATTAGAAAAATCACTAGTGTTTAATATTTATATTTACTGATTTATTTTAAATTATAAATAATAATTAAGAAAGCAATATAAGATTAATTCAAAGAAAAGTATTGAAAACCACTGAACCATTGTTGAATTCTGCAAAAGAAAAGAACCTAGCATGCAATATATTTCGTATTTATTTTATTATCAATATCAACGTTAATGGATATTGACTTAAATCTTTGTAAAGTACATTGTCTACTATTTTAGGTTTAACTTTGAATATGAATTTTCTATTTTACATATTTATTTATTTATTAATTGTTGAACGATCACAGTATAAACTTCAGACATATATAAATATTTACCGGGTATTAAAATATTAAGTACGTCCATTTCATACAATGATATGACCAAGTCTGATAAGTACACAAAAAATGCACCAAATACAAAACCAACTAGTGCCGGTATAAATGAAAACTGTCCGTCATTTCCATAGGTGCTGTCCTGTCCGGCGAGTTCAATTGCCGGTGCCAACAGTGACCAATATGATGCCGCTATCATCACACCACTTGAGAATCCCAAGCTCCCATCCAGTAGCTTTCTCTGCAATAGACATCAATCACCAATTTGAATTTACATTCTACAGTTGTCAAGTTGTCATATTAAAGGAAAAATACACATAAAGTTGAAACCCATATTTACTTGTGTACCGCTGAATACCAGGATTAAACTGGACCCGATAGCCGTTAAGCCCCATGTGAACAAAGTGCCAAATAGTGTCTGTACGACAGGACTGAAATTTGGTAACATGACGGATATTTCCTACTTTGGAGGCCGGTCAAGAACCTTCGTAAAGACGAATGCGTCGGAATCCTCTCAACTCATCAGAAATCAGAATCAAAATGTCTGACGGTGTCGGCGAAACGTACACTCGTAAAACGTATTTAATCGTAATTTTGTCGGGAGAAAAACACACTCCATGTTTGTGTGTTTACAAAATATAAAATAAAAAATATAATATACCTACGACCCGCCAGTCTGTGATTGTTTTGATAATATAAGGCGCCATCTGGCGGCGCGGGCCACGACAATCGTCAGAATAATAATGATGTTATTAATATTGTACATTACAATATGACAATATTCTGAAAATGAAAAGACACCTATTGTCAACTAATTCAAGTGATAATTATTTCTTCATGAATATTTCTCTTTTGTTGTTGAAAATTAAACTTCTATATTTACTAAACATTATTTCCATACTGAGAAAAAATTGAAAACATTCTTCAGTAACACGTTTAAGCAACCAATTTTGTATTCTTTAATTTGAACAAGCAGAGTAGGTAGTCGGTTTTTAAAGGTTTGGAAGAACATACAGAATTAATGCAACCTTCAAAAACTCTGTCATTGTTTTCTATTCTTGATATTATATATAACAAATATTTATAATCGTGCCTATAGTTAAACAATTCAACAATATGTAAAATACATTTGACATACCTAATTACATTAAATAAAGTAGGTACGTCCTCTCTACCACGGCCTATCCATTCTTTAATATCTATGTATTTCTGTTGTATGCTATCTTCTATAATCTATAGTCTATGCATGAAGACTTATAGAATGAGGAAAGCAAACTCCGCTTCTGATAACGTCCCGAAATGAGACGACGGACTAATATATATACCTATATAATTAAGAGGGCGTAACAGTGGCGGATCCAGGGCTTAATTTTTGGGGGAAAAATTACAAAAATTGGCCAAGCACACTGTAAAACATAGGGAAACCACGGCGATTGCCATTCCCCACCCTGAATCCACCACTGGGGCAAACGGTGATACGGTAGGTAATCGGAAAAAAAAGTCCCACACAGCCACACTAGGAAAAAAAAGTCTCGAAAAAAATTAATATTATTCTTGTAGGTAGGTACTTGTACAGTTCTATAGTAAGTTGTGCTTTGTATTTTAGTGTGTAACTGTGTAAGTGTAATGAATAAAATGCTTGTACATATATTTGTCATCTACCATAATCAGTACCTAATAAATAATAGAAAAAAAAGTTTACTGGAAAATTCACCAAAATACTTATTCTTATGCTGCAGTTGTACCTATTGTTCTGTGGTAGTGCAGTTGTACTTTGTACTTATTTTATTGTGTAATGTATAGGTAGGTATAAAATATATTTGTTATCTACCATAGACCATAATATACAAATTCGAAAACTGTTAAAAAACGGTCGTATCCCATTTCGCCGCCATTTAATTTCGCCGCGGTACCATTTCGCCGCCAAATTAATCCCATTTTGCCGCCGACCCATTTCGCCGCATAAAATTATTTTTGTCTTAGAACATGGTTATGAATTTGTGATTTGAAAAGTGATAAATAGACACAGAAAAATATTTATCAGAAATATTTATCGTTTAACAAAAAATTTCAATACGTATATTATAAAACGTAAAGGTATACAAATTAATAGATAATACTAAACTATAGGCAAGTATAATATATTATATAAATATATATTTTTCTTCTTAGTTGAGGTGTGGAAGAAAAGAGTTTTTACTAGTTCTGACAGTCATGATTATTATGCATTTATGCAAATATCTGATATCAATGCGTTCAAACACTGGTGTTATCTACCACGCATCCCAATCTCATAGTTCACACTTCACGTCATTACAATAGGAATATTTAAAAAAAAAATCGTTTAAAAAATCAAATTATTTTGCAGATTTGGGATAATATTATTATGAGTATTATCAATTGATGGGCGTCCGGGAATTGGGTCACATTTTAACTACCTGTTTCGTATAAAATATTTGTTTACATTTTACTACCCGGAGATTGGGCCACAAATTAAATCTATATTTTTAAAGTGTACCCGGAGATTGGGCCATAAAAGTATAGCACACAAATATACTATTAATACGAATATATAATGTTTATTAACTTTTTTTTTTTTTTTTTTTTTCGTGGTATCGAGAACCAGAGGGGGGACCGCGTTAGCATTACTTCCCATCTGGCCCACTACTTCCCCTCTGGCCCAATGTTTATTAACTAATTATTATTGTTTTAACATATAAAAATACAATTCGTCAAATATGAAATAATTTTTATAAAGAATGCTAATACTCATTTTACAAATATAAGAGGTATAAGGACCATAAAGTTAGTCAAAAAATAAATAATATGAAAAAACATTTTCTAATAGGTACATAAAAATATAATACAAGACATTTAGATCTATAAAGTCAGTCTCCAACAATAAATAAGAAGAAATAATTTTTATAAATAATGCTAATACTCATTTTACAAATATAAATAAATATATAAATATAAATAATTTTTTTCTAATAGGTATAATATTTAAAAATATAATTTTTTTTTTTTAAATAACATGATACAGATTGTACATATTCAAATCGGGGTTTTCCCCTTCTTCATATTTTTTAATTTCATTAAGAATAAAATTTTGTCGAACTAAAGTTCGTTTTCTTGTTTTTATTGTTCCTATACTTTTAATCTTAATATAAACTTCTGATTGAAGTTGCAATAAAACATTAAAAAAATTATGTAAATTTGGATGTGACATATAGAAATTATTTTTGAAATGTGAATGAAAAGACTCGACGGCATTTGTAGTTCGAGTTAAGCCGCGTCCAGACTAGACGACCAAGGGTATCGAAGGCACATGTGACGACCTTATTCGGAGATATTGGTATTGGTGTGGACAGCGCTACCGAACGAACGCCAACGGTGAATTTGCCTTCGGTTGCCTTCGCTCGGCAAGCGGTACATCAAAAGGAATTCGTTATCGGTTCGGACACGATTTGTCGATATTTTAGTATTCGTTGACATTTGGTCCGAACTGGTGTCTTTTTGAATTAAATATTTAAATAATTGTACTTATTCATTTAAAATTTTAAAATGGATTGGAGTGATAAACGATGCATTCAACTAATACATTTATATCAAGAACACCCAATACTATGGGATCCAACAAATTTTGAGTATAAATTAAACAAAAAAAAATTTGATGTATGGTGTGCCATTGCAAAAGACATGAATGCCGAAGTTGTTGATATCCGCAAAAAAATGGAAAGTTTATTAACTTCATTCAGGCGAGAACGGCAGAGAGAAGGAACTACATCTGGAATGGGCAAAGACGAGGTGTATCACTCACAATGGTTTGGGTTTCAGTCCATGCAATTTTTGAACGATAAGTTCAAGCCTAGAAAAACAAAAAATACAGAAACTACTTCAACTAAAGATGTAAGTATTACAATAGTTTAATTTATTATTGTTCATATATTTTAATTTTTAACCATAACTTCACATTTTTAAATATTAATCATAAGTTATCATTTATCATTTATTTGTTAATAATAGGTACAAGTAAAATAAGATAATATTGTGTATAGTTATAAATAACTTATTAAATTAATGATTAACATTAATTATTCATATTCATGAATTCATATTCAAGAGTTCCCAGTTGCTAAAAAATGTAAGGTTAAGGCTAGTCGCTCTTGAGGTGGTATAGCCTTTCTGAAATTCGTGTCTTCTTTTTTAATCATAGGCGTGATCATTTCTAGTAATACGTCAAATGTAGCTGGTGGCATTCTGCAGAAGTTATTAAAATGACCAGAATCTTCTCTTCGCAAATCCTCTAGTAAATTACTACCACTATAAAAATTATAAATATTAATAATTAATATTTTCAACTAGGTACCTATTTAGTTTACTTACCTATAAGTTATTCGACTTTTAAATGTCGAAGTCATCCACCAACGCCTGTGCCTTCTTTTTTTTTTTTCTTCTTTTTTTAATAATGAGTTCATTATCACAAAAGCAGCACTTGCCATTAATAAGTCGTCGTCACTTGACGACATTTTATTTAAAATGTAATATTTTTAGTTAAATATTAAATTTTAAAATTTGGAAAGTATAAAATAAAACTTATAGTTATGTGAGTTCGCAGCATAAACAAGCGAAGGCTTCCAAACACGGACTAACGACGAATTCGGAATGAGTTTGGACAGTATGCCAATGCTCTCAAATCTAAGTACAGCCCACACCAAATGTGTTGACGTTGGCGTTCGGTTGCCTTGGTCGTCTAGTCTGGACGCGGCTTTACAGTTTCAGAACGTAACGCCCACATATACGGAGGGAAAAGAGCATCGTCACTAATATAAGTGTCAAAAATATAATCAGAAAATGCTGTGAGTTTATTGTTTTGTGGCATCTCACTTATAAAATCTATTGCAAACAGTCGCCTACTTCTTCTGGATTTAAAAATGGTATTCCAAATATATTTCCTAGCCAGTTTCCTAGATCTGAAGTATTATCTTTGTATTCTTTACTTAGGCCAACTGCCTGAATTTGATAAGGCATACGCAACCGCTTCGAGTAAAGTTTCGTGTGCGCTGCAGTATTAGGAATTGTATCAATTTATATAAAAATATGTGTATGCGAAACATAGGCGTGCGCAGCCTCCGGTTTCAGGGGCAGCAAGAGATTAATTCGGCCCATTTTTCAAATTCCCCATTAAAACCAGCCCATAGTTTTACTTTTTTTACTATTGGATATCAAAATTAAAATTGTATGGTTATTTGTTTTTTTGGATAAAAGGTTGTATAGTAAGGTACTAAGCCACTAAAGGTGTACTTTTCTACAAGCCTATATAAAATATTCATCTATAGTTTATCAAAACAAAAAAAAATTTTTGTGGAAATATAATTTTACCGAGGCCCACTATTTAATATTTGCCGGCCCCGGTGGCCCCAAAGAAAGTCCAGGGGCAGCATATGCTGCCTCTGCTGCCCCCGTGCGCACGCCTATGATGCGAAACATAGACAAAACGCATTTACGCAGAATAATTTTTTCTATGATTTTAAGTTATCTTAGAGTAAACAAATAGTGCTCTGACATCCTCTTAAATATTATTTTATTACAATTTAAAATGTAATAGTGGCCCAATCACCGGGTCTTCCTATTATAAATATAAAATTTTAGTGGCCCAATTACCGGGCCTACCTGAAATAAATATAAAATTTTGGTGGCCCAATTACCGTATACCTATGGAAAAAAAAGGTGAATTGTGGCCCAATTCCCGGGCGCCCAAAAAACTAGGGCAAACTCGGACAGTAGAAAAACGTCTGCAAAATTTATGTATGTTTTAGATTTTTTAACAGCCGTAAGTCATAATATAAGAAAGAGGTGTACCTACCTAATTATAATATTACATTTTTATAGAATTTTTATTATAATTATATTGGTACCTACTTTATAATTGTATTATTATTATTTACTTTTATATTATATGACTCTTGTATTTATATATTCATCGGGACTTTTTTTTTCGCGATTCCGGTGATACACCTCCATGAGTTATCTGTCTTGTAAGCTCAGCAGATCACGTTTACTTCTGTTGGTTTAAAAATTAGAGGAATTAAGCTATAAAATCTAAGAGGTTTCATGTTTAAAAATAATGCATTTTTTTCCAAAAAACACGAATAATTCCTATAGGTACTACACGGGTTAAAATGGCAACCTTAGCGTACGCAGTGCAACCTTTGGCCGTTTAATCGGGCAACTCATTTCGGTATGTTTTTTTATGCAAGCGGCTGTACGAGTTCAGTGGCGTAGACATGATTTCTGAAAGGGGAGGGATAAAAAAAAAAAACTACATGCCTAAATGGGAGGGAAAAATTGGAAAATCCCCCATCCTTTCAAAAGTTTTTACTAAGGTAATAAAAAGCCAATGGGGGGATCTGATCCCCAACGTCCCCCCTTGCCTACGCCACTGGTCTCCTTATTCTAGTCTTCATGGGGCTATGCATAGATAAAATATAAGCCCCAAAGTCAATTGTTTAATTAATGTTATTCTATGCCTCTATGGTCGATTCACCTTCGGGCTTGGATACATTAATGGTTTATTCAATGATAATATTATGTAACGTAGGTATTATGTCTATTACATAAATGTATTACCATTGATTATGATTGTTATTGTCTGTGTACACGATAAGTAATTGAAATAATGCTTAGATTTTCAACTTCATTATCCTTTACGATGGGAAAGTGAATCTAGTTTGTGTATTCCGGGCCATGAGTCTCCGCTAAGAATCGTTTTTCGTATAAAATATGATATTATATCATTGAATTCAAATTCAACACCATCTATTACAGTGACCCACTTGTAACCTACTGCACAGCAGAGCGACACCCACTTGCCCACCTTCTTATAATTAAGGCTTGAACATTTTATATAAGGTTACTTACTTAAGTTGTACATACTCCTGTTCATATTATGCATCACGTATATTATGCAAATAAATATATTTATACCAGTTACCAATTATCACTAACTTATTCACGCCATTCTACGCAATACCTATTAATAATCTAATAAAATATGCAAGGTTTTCATAAGAAAATAGTTCAATTTACTGTATTACTAAATTACTAATACTTATAAATTATAATATAGTTAAAATCGATAAAGTGGCCGAGTTGCACTTATATAGCCGATTATGGCAGTAAGTTGTCGGCGATCTTACGTAGTTGGATTGTCTACAGTGGCGGACTGGCCCAGGTGGAGAGTGGGGAAAATCCACCGGGGCCGCTGTCGTGAGAGGCCCCTTAGTTATGGTGCACTTGTAATAAAAGTATATTATATTATGATTTTATATTCGATTTCTAAATTAACAATAATAGATAATAACACACAAAATACTCAATCCTGGGGCACGAATATTTCTACATAACTTATCAGCACAAAATGAAAATAATTTTCCCTGACCCGCGAGACGCACCCCACCATAATATTATTATAAGAAGTCATGAACTGTAATTAGAAATAACGAAATTCACGTAATAGGCCGCCGCCCGCCGACCAATATTGTTTTGTTTATATAATTTATACTGTATTACCTATCTTTGTCGTCGATACTCAATGGTTATTCGTTATTTAATTGAAAACATTGAACGACTGAATAGTGAGCAAGTGAAGTTAACAATCAAAAAATTGCGTACCTATGTGTAACTTGTGTAGTTGTGTATATATTATGCATCAAATGTTGAATTTATAAATTTAAATTTAAAGTACCTAATAAATTGTTGTCTCAGTAATATCTAAATATAGACGTAAAGAAATTATATAAAAGACTTTAAGTATTAAAAATTATATAATATAATATTATGAATTATGATATTATTTATTCCTAGAATATATTGGCGGTGTTAAACACCCTTAGCACCTCCATCATTTTAGCCTATGATAAGTGAGCTGCAAATTTTTTGATCATACAAAAAAAAATTGTGGGCCGCTCAAATCTTCTCCACCCGGGCCGAAGTACTCTCAGTCCGCCCCTGATTGTCTACCAGGGTGGCTGAGTTGCACTTACTGCAGTGAGTTACACCCAAAAGGAGTTGAACAATCACATAATCACAATTTTTCTAAGAGATATTTTAAGTATAAAGAGATCGGATTATTTTACATAACTCATCTGTTTTAAACCCGTCAAAGAATAATTGTTTTAATGCTTGTTTCTTGCGATTGGATTTTAGCCATTGGAATGTAGTTTCTGAACAGGAATATAACAGCGCTAATCGGTTATATATATATATGTTTGTACATCCTACTCCTACATAGCTACATGCAATGGTGAAATTAACATAGAGCTTATACCAATGGCCGGTTAGTTAATTGTCATAACTTAATACATTTTTATTTAGTTATCTCAACTGTCATAATAATATTGGAATAACTATCAGTTCATTTATACCATCGATCAGTGGCTTGTAACATGGGGTCCAAGTGTTGCTCAGGCAATACCTTAAATATGGGTGGGTGGGTATTGATAGAAAAAATATAGGAAATTTTATAGGTCGGTATAACAGTATTGTGAGGGGTAGGTCACCTAAAATTATTTGAGCAACACCAATTTTTTTTATGATACACGCCACTGCCATCGATGCTTAAACGTCGGTGGGTATCAACAATAGTTTGCACTGTGCAAACACATGCGGGGGGAGGGAGCTAAAGCTTTTGAGGAGTGCTTGGCTAAATTTTGTAGTTTCTATATCGTAAATACCTTACTGACCAATAGGTAGTAAGGTAGTAAGTATTAAGTAGTATAGATACCCACATAGGGATTTTAAGAATTTTTCTAGGGTGGGGAGTATATATTTAACCTAAATATTTACTTATACCCTTACATCAAATTGAAATATTATGTAAATCTTTATTTATTTTTTCAATTCATACTTCACATTTATTATTTAATCGCACATAATAGTCATCTTACAATATTTGTCTATCTAAATATACATTAAAAATTGTTTTTAAGCAATACAATTCAATTTTTACAAATGATAGGTACACAATACACATAAACATTTATTTACATATTTTAGATATATCTTATATTCAAGTTTACAATGCATATAGAATAACAGTATCAAGGTGTTTTATCTTTAAAAACCATAAATTATAAATTATAATGCACTAATAAAATGCCATTAATATATTTTTGTATGTATGTGTATATTATATTATTAGTATTATATAGATATACATAAATTTATTTCAGATTATAAGTGAAATGTTTGTGTTTAAGATTTCAACAAAGTAATATTGTATACGCGTAGTATTCAAATAAATTTAATTACACAGTTTATATACAAGAAAAATCAAAATTTTTACTATTCAGAGGTTAAAACAAAATATTTACTTCGTTAATGACCTATTGATTGTAGACATATATATATATATAAAAATGATAATAATAATAACAACAACAACACTGTAGTCTGGATGTTCTGAAGTTAGGAACCGACCGTGAAAATCGGAGTACAAACATTGTTATTACAACAGGCGCTTCAGAAG